ATATATATATATATATATATATATATATATATATATATATATATATGAGAAACATTGCATTCAGATTCTAGGTATAAAAATATTAATTTCTATAAGAATATGTACAATCGCTTGTAAATCATTAATGGTATTTTTACAAATTCAATAATATCGGAACTATAACTTATTTATTTAGAGTATAGGCTCGAAATTTACCTGATGAGTGCCTAAACTCTACAGAAGAGAGAAAGCGCAGTTTTGGCGCCTTTTGATGAGTTAATATAGGATGAGGCTTTACATGGTTACGTTCATCGCTAGTAGAAGATGGTTGGGATTTATCTGAAACATGCCACATTTAATGTCTAGAATGAAGCGAAAGACGACAAGTGAGTCATACCAGGTGACAGAGTTATTATGTTGAAATATCGTTTAGGATCTAAACTTCTGCTAAAGTTAGAAGAATTGAAATTCAACGTTATGTATTTATACAACGTATGACAAGCATACGCTACTTTCACGTTACCATTATTTCACAATTTAGTAGAAAAGCATGAGTCTCGAAACGTTTACGATAGTATGGAAAATAGGAATATTTGTATAATAGAATTAATCGGTGATAGATCTAAAATGAAATTGACATTCGACGAGGTTGCTTCGATTATGGAAGACCTGTGAGAAATTGTGTGTTTCAGTGTTTAGGCGACACTCTCATTTAGAAAAAAAAAAAAAAAAAAAAACGAAAAGATATAGTATCGATGGAGAAATATGAAAGTTATGTAAAAGATTTAAGCACACATACACGCCCACGCACACATAAGTTGTATGCATCTTTTGTCTGATAAACAGAGAATGTTGTGTACAATCTGTAGTGAAAAATATTGACTTTCAATTATGGATAGATAATCGTGTGATCAGATAAAAGAAAGAAAGCGAACGAGAAAGTCGAAGCAACTACGTTAGTGAAGTACAACTATGCAACGATGAACAGGATACCAACTGTTGGACATTACCATTGTCTAAATACTGCTATATGTATATGTATATATGTATGTATGTACATACATATACATATATATGTATATATATATACAATATATATATATATACATATGCACATATATATAAATATATACATACATTTATTACGACTGTGTACATAAACGTAAAAGGGAAAACAGCAATAATAATAGAATAATTTAATGAAGTATATGATAAAAATAAGATCTTTCATATTTTATATATGTAATGAACACTCTCTTCCGGGTTGAAGTTTCATGAAATCAATCTTACCAAATTTTTTGCTGATTCGATGTGAGCAACAGCAAGTAATGATCGAATCTTACGTGTGTAAGGTTCGAACATCACCTTTACTTTTTCGTCACTCGATTTTTACAGAAATATATCGTCACACAAAATACATAAGAAACGAGAAATACACGAGATATATATGGGATATACAGTAAACAAAATATATACATATCCCAGTTAAGTGATCACGATTTTGTGATCTCTTATCTGGTGATATATTACAATATAATATATGATATATTATAAGGATGAATTTACAAACACGGTAAACAAGTTCAAGCTCTGTTTCCAAAGGAAGGATGATAAATTTATTAACGTTTTGTCCGCTAGCAGAAATGTGCATCGAAGAATAAACTGCAATTCTTTTTCAACGTGCATACGTACACAAAAGGTTTGGTCGAATCTCTGTTCACGGAAATAATACGAAGATAGTTAGCAACAGATGTGACCAAGAGGAACATAGAGGAGGAGAGAAGGTGAGCAAAATTAGATGAGATTACGAGATATGGAGAAGCGTGATAGGGGAGACACATCAGCAGGACGTTTATCATAGATTTTAGTAGAATTTACTATTAGAATCCGCTTACCTCCGTCCCCTAGCTAGCAATGGAAGCAACGTAATGATCAAT